CACAACTTCATGTCTAAATCTCAAGGCCCTCCCCAGTTTCCCCGGCTGAATTGTAGTGCCCTGTCTGCTCCCTGATGAGGAGTCTTTGTGACAGGGGCTCCCTGATGGCCAGGACTGCGCTTCATTCATCTCCGTCCAGCTCTGGTGCTGGTAGTGCCTGGCTGGGTGTGAGGATGGCTGGGTGCTCCCTGAGACTGAAGCCAAGCCCCGCCCTCCTTTTCCTGTTCCTGAAGGGAAGGTAAAGAGGTAACGAAAGGTTTCTTTTCTTCCAGTCTTCTTACTAGTGAAAGTATTTACCATAAAGTGTGTTAGTGTAATTTTTCATTTATTTGTGGGTTCATCTCCTTTCAAAATGTAGATTTGAGGCTGACTATAATAAAAAGAAATGTGTATACTGAGGCTATTATAATAATCAAAATCCATGTAGAAGGAAGGGCAAGAGAATCTACACAATATCTAAGCTAACATAGCTATTGAAGTTATCCATCTAAATAAACTATGAGCTTCCTGGCAGCCAAAGGTAAAAGGGGTGGGAGGCACAGAGTTTATGATTGCTGGAGTGAAATGTAGCATATAGCTCATTGCTTGTGGGCTTGGGGAACTCTAAACCTTTGTCAAATCCACTCAGGAGGCTCCTGGTTTGCACCAAGCTCTGTCCTGGGCCCCTCGCTCGGATAGTCCCCTGGCCCTTGCCTCTCTGTGGCCAGTCGGTCAGAGTACCTGCCTCACCTCCTGGCCCTGAGCCCTTGGTGAATGCACCCAGGGTCTCTTTCAGTTCTTCTGTTGTTCTTTCTCCATATGTAGTTCCACTTGAAAACCTTTCTACTCCGGAGGTCGAGAGAAATTCCCACTTTCTCAATTTAATGTTTCTGCTCCCTGCCTAAGAGGCATGAAATCACAGCCTGCCACCCACTATTTAAGGTCATTTTCCATTAATTTATAGATGGTGATGTCCAGATAACTTGTGACTTAAAACATATGGTCACCAGCTCCCCTCTTAGATCAGCCTCTGGATCGTCACAGATCGGTCCAGGTAACAAGGAGGATGGACCTGGTCATTAGGCAGGAGACGTGGCGTCTGGTGAGCTGGCCTGGCGTGGTGGCCCTTGACTTCCTGGGGCTCTTGGCCAACCTTTCCTGGGACAGAAGATGCTCCCTAAATGGGCCTTTTCTCGGGGAAAAGGCAGCTGCTTCCAAAACACACACAGCTCCTGTAAGCCCAGCCTGCTTAAAATTATATTTACCTTTATGTGTTCCCATCTTAATTACATTTTTTACTAGCATTTTTATTCATTACTTAAAACAACATTCAAAAATAATTATGCAGTAATTCCTTCCTCTATACACAGTGGCTGTTTACCTTCCTGCCTCAGAGTTCCAGCCCCTTATTCATGTGTATCTGTACTTACAGCACCGCTGCCATCAGAGTTTAGGTATTATGGGATGCCAGTATTCAGCAATTCCTAAGCAAAGAGTAGAGTTCCCGTTGGGCATGTTCACATTATCCAGGACTTGTTTAGAAAGCCCATATTATGTGGTTTGCTCTCAACCCATAAACAATCTTGTATTTTACTTTTTAACTTAGCATAATTTCATGCATGCTTTTCCATGTAGCTACATAATCTTCAGATTTATCATCTTAATGGCTGCTTAATATTCCATCCAGTTAGCATGCCATAATTTACTTAACTGTTCCCTATTGTTGGAGCCTTAATGAAAATTTGAATTCACCATGTAAAACGGAGGAAGCTTGTTTTAATGATTACCATTATAACATCGCCTGCCCTAACTGCATGCCATTACTAACCCAGCTTTGTAAGGCACAGATGCTTTGGGAACAATAAATCCTGTGTGAGAGGTGTACTCACGAGGCCCTCTGATTTAATAGCTAATCTGTTCCCTGGCACGTGTTTTCCTTTTAGGTTGGTATTTATGTAGAATATCCATCTCTTCTGAATATTGCCTAATACTAAACTGTAACATGGCTGTCGGGGACTTTCGGAAATTAACTGGAATTGGGGGCAAATCTGGCTGTCAGCTGTCATTCATTTATCCTATCCAGATTCATTGAATATCTGTTTGCAACCAGGCTTTGGGAGAGAATAAGGGGCCCACAGAAATGCATCTGTGAATTGCTTTGTGGTGCTCAAGACCAAGTGGTGATTCGCATGCAAAGTGCTTTGTAAACTGCAGTTTACCCAGTAGTGGCTGCTGGTCCTGCTTCTGAAATAGGATGAAGAAGAAAGGGGTTTTCCTGGGTCAGTGCCTATCAGCTGTGTTCCCGGTGTCCTCAGCGCTTGGAATTCTCCAAAGACAGGAGGCAAGTGCACTCCTTAGAAACCAGGGCGGGAGTGATACAGATGACAGTGACCTTACAAAGCACGTCATGTCGCTTGTCTACAGTACTTTACAGTTGGTCTTCACCTTCAGCTGACCAGATTCTTTCTACCTTTTTTTAAAAAAAAAATATTTTAAAGAGAGGAAGGGGGGGATGAGAGAGAGAAAGAGAGAGAGAGAGAGAGAGAGAGAGAGAGAGAGAGAGAGAGAGAAGCATCGATGTGAGATAGAAGCATCAATCAGTTGCCTCCTGCACTGGCCCAACCAGGGATTAAATCTGCAACCTGGGTAAGTGCCTTGACTGGAATGTTGAACCCAACTTTTGGTGTACAGGATGATACTCCAATTAACTGAGTTACACGGCCCAGAGCCAGGCTGTACCTTCTATAGCTCTTCTCGTTTCCTCTTCTCCCCTCCCCTTTCCCCTACCCCCATCCGCATGGAAAGGGAAGCATCATCCCCAAAACTAACAAATTTACTCACAATAAAGTGTGCTTTGCCAAAGTATGGGACATGTGCTCAGAGGAGACAGAATTTTAGGTGGCCTGAGAACCATGTTGTAAGAAGGTTTTTTTCCTTTTCATTCTCTCTAAAAGGAGAAAGTGACAAAGAAACTGTCTTTCTGGGGCTTGCATCCCTGACAGCTGTCCAGCATCTGCTCATCTCCTGCTCAGCCAAGGGAAAGCACGCCTTAGGCCAGCCTCCCAGGGGGCAGTGGTACCTGCCTGGTCGATTTACTCCTCCTTCATTCTTTTTATGTTTATCAACTGTTTAGATGATGGTTTACTTTTTAAATATTATTTTCTCTAAAAAATGAATAAATAAGTGTGGTAAATAATAACCTTGTTGGTACTCAAGCAATGGCAAACTTATGACTAAATGAAGTTTGGGGAGTACTACCCTAACGTTACGTAAGGTCCACACCGATGACCCCGGCACAGCCTCAGCTGGCTTCTGTTGTATCAGGGCCTGTACTCCGGCTAGGACGGCTGTCACCCCGAGAGCTGGCCTAAAAGCAGTGCTCTTGCTTGGAAGGGTGTCATCACTCGTGTGTTTTGCCAGTTGCTCTTTAAGACACGTATGATTCTACGTATCTCTCTGCCATTGGAACTCTGATTTGGAGAATGTTTAAACAACTCACTCTCACGACCCTCACCCCTTTTGTGTCCAACCTCACCTCCACTCTCTCACCTCCTTGGACCCAGTACTCCAACAAAAGTGGACAGTGAATAAATATACAATGGGATATTATTTGGCCGTAAAAAGAAATGAAATTCTGACACATACTACAACATGGAAGAACCTTAAAACATTATGCGAAGTGAAATAAGCCAGGCACAGAAGGACAAATACCACAAGATTCTCATATGAGGTACCTAAAGTATCAAATGTACAGAGACCAAGGGCTGGGAGAGGGAGGAATGGGGGGCCATTGCTTAATGTTGCAGAGCTTCAGTTTGGGAAGATGAAAAAGTCCTGGAGATGGATGTGGTGGTGATGGTTGAATATACTTAATACCACTGAACTATACACTCAAAATGGTCAAAATGGCACATGTGCTATGCTTCACCAGGAAAGCAGGCAGGGAGCATTCTCCCCAGCCTCGCCGCCTTGGCTTGCCCTGGTCCTACCCCAGGGAATCCTGCCCTCTCCCATTTCCCACCTGTCAGAGCTGTCAGTTCAAATGTCTTCTGCTCCTGCCTCCACCAGGCCCCGCATGGAGCCCCTTCGCTGTAGTGTCATGGTGATTTGGGTCATTGTATCTCTTCTGGAACTGGTGCGTTTCCCAAGAGCAGCCTCTGCAGCAAACCCTCCCTTCGCTGTGTCCCGTGCGGGCCCTGCACACAGTGGGTGTTGATGGGAGCAGGGAAAGCATCTCTGTTTGACTCAGAACCAGCTGACTGGCATCCTTGCATCCCTCTCTGGCCCCCACTGGCCTCTCGGGAATGAGGTAGCCCCTCAGTCCACACGGGAGCCCGTGCTGGCATCCTCCCCGCGAGACTAAGAGCTTCCCTTCCTTATTCAGAAGTGGAATGGACACTGGCTCTCACATCCCTCAGAGGTGCTCAGTGTGTTAGGAGGCAGACAGGCTCTGGGGGAGGTGGGAATGCTGGGAAGGAGCCACTTTGCAGGGGAGAAAAACAGTGACCCAGGCTCCCTGGGGAGGCTCGTTGGGTCTTTTAAAATGAATTTGCAAGCTGGGTGAAAACTTGAGGATCGTTACATTATTCATACAGGGAATGAAAGTGCCAAGAATGGACAACCGTCCTATTGGGGGAGGCTCCACTGGTCTGTAAAGCGAGGGGGTGAGAGCTCTGTGCTCTGGGCTGGTGTGGGAACACACCTGGAACATCATGCGCACGTCGGGGCCATGCCCTTGAGACTGCAGTGAACCTGCGGATGGAGGCGGTGAGCCTTCTACCTCTCTCATCAGGCCTGAGAGCCTGAGATCTTCGTGAGGAAACCTTGCCCGGGGAAAGCAGAGATGCTGCCTTCAAGGGGTGGGAGGAGCAATTGAATGCAGAAAAGGGGGCTGTTCCTGTGCGGTCATCACCTCCTCGGCTGGTGGCTCTGAACCCCTGTGGGTGTCACCTGGCAGATCCCAGGTGAGGGAGTGTGTGTTTCAATTCCATGACACCTCTGCTTCCTTTTTGTGCCTGCAGAATTTCAGAGGCAGGAAAGTATCCGGTCCCAGCACAGAGGCATCCAGTTGTATGACACCCCTTACGAACCCGAGGGCCAAAGCATCGACTCGGACTCAGAGAGCGCAGTCAGCCCCCGACTGCGGGAGAGCAAGCTGCCCCAAGATGACGACAGGCCCGCTGATGAGTACGACCAGCCATGGGAGTGGAACCGGGTCACCATCCCAGCTCTGGCAGGTAAGGAGCCAGTGGCCCTGCTCAGAGGCGGCACTGACCCACGCTGGACACTCGTCTTTGGTAAAGGGAGTCAGTGCGCTGTCCCTGCCTGCTCAGATAAGCCAAGGCCTGCATTGGGTCATCCAGTTGGGCTGTCCTTGCTTCTAGTTCAGCTGAGCCCCTCGAAAATGAGAGTCCTGGAGGGGAGGGAGGCCAGGCCAAGAGGAAATCCTGGGTCTCAGTTCCAGTGTCCCCAGTCTTCATGGAAGCCCCAGCTAATCTCATTGTCTGACCCTGTCTCAGTCCTGTCCGTAATGCCCTAACGCACTGAAGCCAAGATCTGACTTCAGAAGGAACTTTCTTAGAAACTAAAACAAAACCAATCTGCGTTGTGTCTCCTGTTGGGCCTGAGGGAACCCAGTGCCACACCTAGTTGTACAGCTTGCTAGGCCGGTATGCGGCCAGGGCTGCTGCGTTTCCAGTCTCGGCTTTAACATGGACCAGTTCACAGAGCAAGGCCTTGGGCACATCCTGGCCTTAGGGCTGGCCCGCCCCTGGTCAAGAGCCCCTGGACTGACTCAGGTGCTCCCTTCCGCCCCACTCTGAGACTGGTTTCAGCCTTTTGGAAAACAGTCTGCCACATGCCTCAGGGTCTTGAGCTTGTTCATTCCCTTCGATTCTGATTCCAGTCCTTGGGATTCACGCCTAGGTCATGATCTAAAATTCAGAAAAGGGCATTGCTCATGGGCCTGAAAGATGGGGAACAACCTGAATGTCCAGCCACTAGGGGCTGATCAAACGGAATATTGTGCAGCTGCTAAAAAGTGCTCTTTACAAAGAGTTTATGATAACCGAATGAAATGCTCCAGTCCGATGTTAAGAGGTGAAAAGCCAGACGCAAAAAAAAAAAAAATCTTATGCATTTAAAAATTTAGGCATGTGAAAAAGAGACATTGAATTGAATGACTAATTCTTACCACATTGAAGGTCATAAAGAGAGAGTTTTTATTTTTAATTTCTTTTAAATCTCTATTGCTTGGACTTTCCTTTTTTCATGCACAACTAGACTCTTCCTCCCTTTTTGGGCCCCAACAGTGAGGCTCCCATTCCGATGCCCTTAATGATGTTCAGGCTGTTCCAGCACATACTGTTCACAGTTCCCTGGACGTACCACTGTGCACATCCTGTCCCTTCTGCCTATATATGCCTTTCTTACCTGGAAAAATCCCGGGCATTCTTTGGGGCCCAGCTCAAACGTCGCCATCTCTGTGAGCTTTCCCTGGTGGCCATTCCTCTCACTATGTAGAGTTTGTTCGTAGGTGCTGGTCTTGCCCGCCAGGCTGTGAGCACCTGGCTGAGCCAGTGGTGAGGTAGTCATGTGGCTGAAGGTCCTTGGTCATCTCAGGTCTCCTTTCTTCCCCCGGCACAAGGGAATCCGAGGACTGTCCCTGTGCCCTTGCGTAGCTGATGAGGGGCGAGGTTCCTCCTGCATCTGAGAGGAGCTAGAAGGAGCCAGTGCTGTCTGAAAACTTGCTCTTTGCAAACACCAGTTTGATTAAAGGGCTAAAGGAGCTCATGTGACAACTCTCCAGATACCAAGGGCCGGTGGCATGAACTAGCACTGCAGACAGGTGTGGCGTCTCACCCCTCCCCTCTCCTGGCTGAGCACATGCAGGTCACTCGGAGCTGTGCTGCCTTTGATGCTCTAGTCTAGTCTGGCGCCTCGCTGCTCCAGATGTGGCCCCTGGACCAGCGGCTAGTGAGAAATGTAGGGTCTTGGGTCCCATCGCAGACCTGCAGAGTCAGAACCTGTTCTAACAAGACTGCTAGGGGATTCCTGTGCACGTTCAAGTGAAAAGCACTTGCCCTCCCATCATCTCTTCTGAAGGCTCTCAGGCCAGCACGGGCCCATACCACCCAGCAGTGGTTTTAGAACGTCTGTGCATTTAGTTTTTCACAAAGGATCACAAGGCTTCTGAATAGTTTCTGAGCCACAGAAACTTATAAACCCAACTTCCATCTGGATTTGGTTTATGTCACTGAGTTGTATCACAAGTGCTATAGGGCAATGGGAGACAGGCTGAGATCACACCCCTGTCTGTGACTCTTGGAGTCGCTTATCTCTGTGTGAACGGCTCTGGAGCGTGTCCGATAGTGCTTTTCCCAAGAAGCTTTTGGCTCAGGTCTGATTCCTGGGGCACAGGAGGAAGCTGTTCCCTTGGGCTGGAGGGACTGTGAGCGGGGCCTTCAGTCATGGCTGGGTCCCTCCTTGTGTCCGTGCACAGAGCCTGTCCAGTGCAGCGTTGCTAAGTAAGGAGCAGCTCCTGTTTTCAGCCCAGAGTGGAGACTGAGTGCGAGTAGATGGGCCACCTGTCAGGTAATGAGGATGAGTTGTAGCAGCTCGACTGTCTCGATTACTAAAGTGCTGCCTTGGTCCCATTTGTAAACCCAGAAGTGTGGCTGCTCAGGAGTGAAGGATAATGTTCCCGCCTGGGTGAGCAGTGTGTGTGTGTGTGTGTGTGTGTGAGAGAGAGAGAGAGAGAGAGAGAGAGAGAGAGAGAGAGAGAGAGAACGCGCAAGTCATTGGTGTAGTCAGGGAGCAAGGCAGTGCTTGGCTAGGCCCTGTCTCCGTTATTACAAACCTATTCAAAATGCTCCTCACAGCTTTTCTGGGCTCTCGGGGGCTCTGTGATGGGTCGTGGCAACCTGGGGTACAGGATCCTTAGCTGGGGAACATCTGTGAGGGATAAAGTTGCCTGGACAAAATCATCACCATCTCTTTCTATGCCTTGTATTCTCTGATTCTGCATGTGTACCTGGATGAGGACACCTGGGCAGGGAACCTGGTAGTGTTCTCAAATTTCCAAAGGGTGTTCAGTGTGAGGTCCCCAAAAGGCAAAGCTGGGCCCACCAAGGAAGAGACGTATGGATTTAGGGTCCAGGTGAGGAGTAAGGATTTCAGTCACACCTGAACGTATGTAACAAGCTTCCGCTCGCTGGGAACTTTTGAGCAAAAGCTCAGCTGAGACAGGGTCGATGCCAGGGGCTTTGTCGGCCGTGAAAGGCCCGCCTGTGTCACCTCCAGGGATGCCGCCATGCTGTGCCCCTCAGGACCCCAGCGTGCTGGTCAGAGCCCAGGGGAAGGCAAGGCCTCTGAGTCATCTCCATAATTAGTCTGTGAAGCAGAAGAGCTCCTTCCTGCAAATTCCAACTCCTGCTTTGCATTTGTGAAGAGACACTTCTCCAAGGGGGCTTTGGCGTCTCCACTTAGCCTGCCCTCTGGGCCAGCAGCTCCAGACCAGCCTTTGTGGAAGCAGAGCCTTCCTGTCTCAGCCGGGCTCTGGCGGCTGCAGCCCACTCCCGGTTCTCGTGAAAACAGCTACTGCAGGGTGTGAGGCGGTCCTAGCTTCTTAGCACGGACAGTCTTCCCTTCTCGCAGAATTCTGTGAATGAGAAATGCCACAAGCTCACAAAAGCCCTGGGCCTTCATTGCCTGCTGTCCCTCCAGGAAACTGTGTGGCCTCGGCCAGAACCCTACCCCCAACTTCAACCTGCCCAGCGGGTTCCCTTCCACTTGGGTGACCTTTGTTGATCCCAGCCCCCAGGACAGATGCCCTGCCAGGTTTCACCCACAGGCTGCAGCCCGCCGTCCACAGAGCGGTGGTGTGGCTCCCATCAACTTGCCAGCTCCCTTCCAAGCCGGCAGAGACACCGGCCTTCTGAGCGGGCTGGACACAGTTCCCAGCCTGCTTCACTGACCGCCTGGGAGTCTTTACAGCAGGAGTGGGGAACTTTTCTCTGCCAAGGGCCATTTGGATATCTATAATGTCATTCCCGGGCCATACAAAATTAGCAACTTAAAACTTAGCCTGCTATATTTGGTCAAGCATTTAATTAACTCACCCCTAATGCCTTGGCAGGGCCAGAACAAATGATTTCTTGTGCCTTATACGGTCTGCAGGCCCAATGTTCCCCACCCCTACTTTACAGCAACAAATTGTGAGACTGGCAGGTGGGTCTAGAAATGGCTTTCCTGCCAGCCCAGACATGGCTCTGGGCCCACACGGGACTCTGTGGCGCTCCCTGCCTGGTGTGGGGTAGGATGAGCAGCCTGGGGCAATTCCACATTGTCTCAGAGTGGCCCTGGTTGATGTGGAGGATCTGACCAGTCCCTGGGCTGTCGCACAGATCATCGGATGGACAAATGGAGCCTGCAGCGGAGGTGGCTACACAGGGAGGGGCCAAGGAGCTGGGTGGATAATCTGGAGAAGCAGACCAAGCTCAGGGTGGCACAGATACGGTGTCGCCACATATCCAAGTAGCAACTGGGAGGACAGGGTTTGAACTTCTCCTGGAAGCATCTGCTCCCTCATCTGGAAATGTGCCCGCTGCAGAGGGTCCTGGTGAGGCTTAAAGGGCACTGCATCAGGAAAGTGCTGGCATTCACTCAGCACTTTCTGTGGGCATTATCCCATTTAGTCCTCAGCTACTTGCTAGAGATTAGTTTCCGCCTTTTACAGGTAAGGAAACTGAGGTGCAGAGAGAAGAAATGACTTGCCCAGGGGCCATAGCTAGTCAGCCACGGGGCTGGGATTTAAACCTGCAAATTCCAACTCCAGTGCCCAAGCCCTAAGCCAGTTGATGTCTGGGCTCCCTGCTGCTATCCAAGATGCTGCATAAAATATGGTCGGAGCCCTCATCCTCCCAGAGCCCCCAGGAAATGTCACGTGCCTTTCACCACCCTTGCACCAATTTCCCCTTTTGTTTGCAGCTGGTAGGATACATCCTGGGGTGTGTGCTCCCACTTGGAATGGTTCCCACTGAAGATGCTGTAGGAGCCCAAGTTCTGGAGGTTTGAGCCTGCATGGGAGTGACGAGAGCCATCCCTCGGTTTGGTCATGCTCTGCCACCACTGAGCACAGGGAGGGCCCTCGTACCACGGCTTCTCACTCCCTCTTGTCCCGCTAAGGAAACTGAGGCCTAAAAAGGGGACAGGAACTGCTAGAGACCTCTGAGCAGAG